CTTCGGCAGCACATATACTAAAATTGGAACAATACAGAGAAGATTAGCATGGCCACTGCGCAAGGATGACATGCAAATTTGTGAAGCGTTCCATATTAAAAAAAAAAAAGTTCGCGTTTGTACTGAATGCATATAGGCTTTTTTCCAAGTCATTAGTCCCTAATCAATACAGTATAACAACTTTTGGGACCAGCAGTTGGCGTATTGGCTATGTCACTGAACTCCCATGTAGTCGACCATGGTTCGAGTCCAGGACCCACTGGCTTAAACTCATGCTGGGCGCGTGTGCATATGTGTCCAAGATCCAGGGGGGAGAATGGAGGAGAAGGGATTGCGGCATGGCCATTCCTCCCCCTCTCCCTGGAAGTCATTTGATTTCTCATTTTCTGTCTCTCTGTCTTTGTAGCAAGCACATGTGCCCTATAGCAAAAACCTCTCAAAAAAAAAAAAAAAAAAACAGACAGGACTGCATTACCCTGGTCTCTCTCACCCCTCAGATTATTGCCTCTCTGGGGCTTGGTCTGGAAGTGGAATTCCTGGGATCAGCAGAGACAAAGCTTGAGGTTGTGGTTGGCTGGGTCTGTGCTGCTGGGCAGGAGAGAGGGAATGGAGGTTGTGTGTTTCAGGTCAATGTAGTGTATTAAGAGAAGAAAACCACATACTGGTTTTCCAGCAGTTTCATTCCTAACAGCATGAATCCAAGTCCTCCCAAACCTGTATTTCAACAAGAGTCAAGTGAACACCCGCAACAGTAAGAGTATCCATAAATCCTGAAGTGCGAGAGCATCCTGTTGGCACCTGCTCTTAAGCATATGGTGGCAGGTTGTAGCTACACATGCAGTATGCAGTGTGAGATCGACTCTAATGTACATTTTAGTCAAGTAGGGAATGTTTGATGGTCAAAGTTGCCATTCTCTGAATCAGAATATCATCGCAGTGAAATGAACTTGTAGGGCACAAGAAATCAGTGTGGTTTTATCATTTTATTATTAAAAACGTAGTAGTTAAACATTTTAAAGTTTGGGTCTAGCAGATGGCGTAATGGTTATGTTGCTGGAGTCCCGCATAGTCAACTGTGGTTCAAATCCCTGACCCAGTGGCTTAAAACTCTCACCAAGTGCATGTGCATACGTGCCCAAAAATGCAGAGAGGAGAACAAAGGAGAAGGGACTGCAGTGTAGCCATTTCCCCTGGGGGTGATTTCTTGCGTTCAATATCTCTGTCTTGCGCCCTCCTATAGCAAAAACCTCTTTAAAAAACAAAATTAAAGTTTAACCTTATAAGGTAAGAACAGCAATTTCTCAACCTTGTCAACTGTTAGAGGTTCTCTGACAGATTTGTTGGACTATGATGGCATTTTATTAAACACTTTTTAAATTTTATTTATTTATTTTAATTTGACCAGAGAGAGACATACAGAGAGAGAGAGAGGGAAAATGAGGAAGAAAGTCACCAGGTCCGGGACTTAAACCACAGTTGGCGATGTGGGAGTGTCCAGCAACCTAACCACCACTCCACCTGCTGATCCTTCATTAAGCAATTTCACTGACAAGTTTAGTGTGCTGTTTGAAGAAAATGATGCCTGGAATTTTTTTTTAATTTTTAAGAATTACTTTATTGAACTATTTATTCATTTATTTCATTTTAATTGTCCAGAGAGGGACAGAGAGAGAGAGAAAGTGAGAGAGCAAGCTGCCAGGTCTGGGACACAAAGCATAGTTGGCCATGTGGGAGTCCAGTGCCCTCAACCACACCACACCACCTGCTGGCCTCATTGCCTGCAAAAAGTTTTTAAAGGAATTATTTTATTAAATGTTATTAATCATCACTATTATTTTTTATTTGACCAGAGGGAGACAGAGTAGCAAAGAGAGGGAAAGTGAGAAAGCAAGCCTTTAGATCCAGGACTTGAATCTCAGTCGGTCTTGTGGGAGTCCAGCACCTTAACCACCATGCCACCTGCCAGCCCGAAAGGCTGAAATTTTTAGAAGATTTAAGACCACCATACTTGGCCTGGTAGTTGAGGCTCTGGACTCCCACGTGGCCAGCTATGGTTTGACTCTCAAACCTAGTCATGCGCTTTCTTACTTTCTCTCTCTCCAGTAGTCCGGACCCCGGGAACAGTCGAACAGGTTTCCTGAGGGAAGGAGTGAGAGAGGCAGTGTTACAACATGGACACGGCAGTGTTACAACTCTTCAGGGTTGCCGGTTTATTGTGGGCAGCACAGAGACAACACAGTGTTACAACTCTTCAGGGTCGTCCAGAGACAATGCAGTGTCACAGCTCTTCAGGGTCTTCAGGGTCGTGCAGCGTTACAACTCTTCAGGGTCTTCTGGCGACTGTAGGCCAGGGATCATGGTTATATACATGTTGACTGTGGTTGGTTGTAAAAGGTGGGTTATGATTGATTGCTTTGTGGACCAATCATGAGGGGCTGGATATGAAAATCTGAGGGATTCTAGTGGCCAGAGTATGGTTTTGAAGGTGAGGTTTTAAAGGGGAGCCCTGTCCCTTCTCATCTCCACCTCTCCCTGCTCCCAGCTCCTCTCCGAGGAGGATCCCCCTCCCATGGAGTCCCCCGAGGGTCCAGGATCCAGACGTCAGGCAGCGGCCTGGGTGGAGACCATCCCGAGGACAGACGCGGCTGCGCCTGCTCCTCCCAACCGCGGGGGGCGCTGTGGGGCGGCGCCGGGTCCCAGCGTGCTCCGCGCGCCAGCGGCGCTGGATTCGCGAGCGGGCTCTGCGGAC